CTCCACAACATCCTCCCCCACAACCACCCCAGTGACCCCACCCTCCACACAATCCCCCCCTGTCTCTCGACGCCTCACGTCCTCCAACGCCCGTGCGAATGTCTGAGCACGCGGGTTAGTCGATGCCATAAGTCGAGCCCTCTCTCGCTCTAGGATGTCGCGTGCCGCATCCGGAGACGCAGTCATCGTCACTCTCTGGGGCTGCGTGAGACTCTCTCCAGCCGCGTCGTCCCTCGATGGAACGTGATCCGTCGATGTCGCCCCGCCGCAACTAGGTGGAAGGCCCATCGACAAATCTAAGTCCAGGTGGCTCCCCATCTGCGAATCCGACATCCCCAACCCCCTCGCCACACCTGGGGTCATACCCGCCATGACCGGATCGTACTACTCCATGAGGAACTGCTGCATGAGGCGCTCGTCGCCGCCCCCACGCGACACCTCCGCCTGTGCCCCTATCTCCTCCTCCACTGCTCCTGGCATTCCCCCCCCCACTGCATCCGACCCTCGTCTCGCTTCTCCTGCTGCTGCAGCCACAAGCCCATCTAGTGCAGCTGCTCCACCAGCTGCTCCTCCATCTGCTCCTCCCGCTGCTCCTTTAGCTGCTCCCGCCTGCCCCTCCACTGCATCTGCTCCCCCTGGCGCTGGTGCCTCCTCCGCCAACCCTGAAGCTGCCATCTCCTCTAGCAATGAAGCCGCTGCTGCTACAGCTATCTGGTCCACCACACCTGCAATCGTCGTGCCCGCCAATCCCCCCTCCACTGCCATCTCCCCCTCCACTGCTGCTGCCGACGGTCCCCCCTCCTCTTGCACTAACCCCCGGAGAAGGTGATCGTAACCTCAGCTGTCGGATTGCCCTGCCTCTGTGGAGTTGTCCGCGCTAAGGCAAAGAGGACGGCAACTCCTCTGTGTCCTCTGCTGCCGTGGTCGGCTCATATGGCGCGACGGGCGATGGCGGTGCAGGACTCAAAGCAGAAGGTGGCGGCATGGACGACTCCTGCCTCGTCGGAGCGGGGCTCGTCGCCCGCGCTCCTGTGCCGCCCATCGAAGCGACCGCCCTGAACGGTCCCCACAACTCCTCCTCTCCCCCCATCATCTCCCTCTCCACCCTCTCAGTCGCCCGTTGTGCAGTATGCGCCCTGCTGTCCTCCTCGGGGTCCAGGTGCGTCTCGTCGATCTCATGGGGAATGCGGAGCGCGGGGTGGTCCGCTGCCTCAGGTACCGGCTCCTAGTCGGAATCATCCTCCTTGGGGTAAGGACGGAAAATGGAAGCACGTCTACCGAATACGGCCTAAGCGGCGGGTGGTGCGGAGACCCTGATGGGATCCCAGGTGATATATGCAACCTAACCGGCAATCTCCTCCGGCGTCATCCCCCTGCGCGTGCCCGTGCGCACTGGCTCCAACTCCAGTCCGGCCTGGCAGTCTAGCACGCCCTCGTCCCGCTGCCATGGCAGCACATAACCGCACCCAGCCCGCCGATACTCCGACAACCGCACATTCGCGGTGATCTCAACCAGCTGAACGACCTTCTCAAAGGCCAACTGGTTGCGCTTCTTCGTATGAATGCCCTCGTGGACTGCCCAGTTCCTCTCCGCTGGAGAGGTGCAAGACCACATGTGCATCACACGAAGAGCGCCAAGCACGCCCACGAGCACGCCCCTCCCCCCCTCCCCAATCCCCAAATGTGCCCTGCTGCATGTGGAAGTCCTCAAACTGCCGACATGCAACGATGTACTCCACACCATCCTCCTCGTAACCCGTCTGCATCAAAATGTACCTCTTGGCTTGCCTTACAAGCCAATGAGGGTAATCCCTCACCTCGCCCGAAAAGTACTCAACATGTCGCCTGCAGGGGTTCTATAAGAACCCCGCGCAGTGAGCAGGTATTAGCATGTGTTGTGTGCGAGCCTGCACACACATGATGATGGGGTCAGCGAAAACCCTCCCCAAAGGAGCGCATGCATCAGTGACACGGCGGACAAGATCCTGTGTCCACTCGATCATGAGGGACATGTACTGCCCCCCACGATCCATCCGCCTAAGCAGCTCCATGACGGGCTGCAGACATGGACGGAACACGGAACCCAAGTGATCCTCCTGATTGCAGGAGGGATGCCCGGTGAGGCCAATGCCCTCTCAGCCCCCACATACGCCGATGCGGAGTCTGTGCATATCGCATTGACCTGCTGCGGGCCGCCGAAACTGAACTCGTGGAAGATGGTCACCCATCTCTAAAGGACGTGCACTGCATCGTCCGGCTCGCCCTCGCGTTTGATCGTCGTGTAGACGACGACCCTTCGCGAGCCGGCGGCAAGGAAATTCACGATCGGTCTCTCGTCTCGTGATTTCCTCCCGTCGGAGAGAAGGGTGGCACCAGTGATCCAGAATGGCTGCCTCACCTCCTCCAACTCCTCCGCCAGCTCCTCACGGTGGGTCTCCACCACCTGCATACTCGCAATCTCGCTGTGGCTGGGGAGCACAGCGTCTGGGGAACTGCCAGGCTGCTCAAGAAGGACCTGCAGGTATGCCTTCCAAGCCTAGTTGCGGAAGGCATTGAAAGGGACCCCGTTGGAATAGAGCCAGTGAAGGAATGTCTTCTTGTGGCGAGCAACCCACTCGCCACCGTAGACACCAGTGACCTTCTGCTGGTGATGCCTCTTCCCAGCTGGTGCGGCAGCCGGATCTATTCCACCTTCGTTCCTCTTGGAAGAACCCTTCCCTACAGGTCCCTTGGATGCTCGCCTCAAAAAGTCCTCCATCCTCTCCCCAGTGCCTGGATAAACCTCAGGCACATCCTCGTGTCCCGGGACTCCCCGCTCGCCCGGGACACGCGCCTCGCGATCGACGTCGATCGCGCCCTCCTTCGTGTCTCCACCTCCACCATTTCCCCCGACCCCTCCTGACGCTCCCTCCACGGGCTGCCGCCCCACCTCTCCTCCCCTCACACCACCCGTGCCAGGCACATCGACTCCGCGCTCCGCCCCGTACTTGGCAACCCTCTCCATTTGATCGCTCTCGAACTTCTGTTGACTCCGTCGCGCGATCTCGTACAAAGCCTCGTCGCTGACGTCCTTGCAGTAGTTCGTCTGCGTGAAATGCCTCGTCGCCTGGAATTGACTCCCTTGAAATACTTTGTTGCAAAAAGTGCAACGCAGCATCATGACCCCCTTGTTGTCGACCTTCTGGCCGATAACCACGTAACGGTACACAGGGGAGCGGCCCCTGAATGTTTCCTGCACATGGTCAGGGGCAGGCTCATGCTGACACCCCTGTGACCTCCCCATGACGGCCGCCCTTCGCCGCCTCGCGAGTCAACAATCGCAACCCCTTCC